TACTATATGAGAATTCGATATTGATACTATTCGATCGATATCCCTACTATATGAGAATTTGATATTCATACTATATAAGAATTTGATATTAATACTATTCGATTCGATTTGATATCCCTACTATATGAGAATTCAATAATTACTATTTAATAATTACTACTTTAATATTACTGCAGTGCGTGCGACTGTACTAAGGGGTGGTGTGGTGAGATGTAATCATTGTAAAAAAACCAAAAGTCCTTTTTGTATAAATAGTCCGCCGTACATCCCGCCCGCCTCCCCACCAACGAGGCCCCGCGCCCGCCAAGAACAAAAGAAGACGAGCAAGGCCCAATAAGGCCAAGAAAAAGGCCAAGAAGCCAATTAGAAGGAGGAGAAGCAGACAGGGACGAGCTCGAATTACTCTATTTATCTTATTTATGTATCATAGATGCAGATCTTCTTCATCTGTTGTGAGACTAGCGACGGGGAAAGGTGTCTGTCAAATTATACGTTATTATTTATACTACTATGACTACGAATATGTGATCCCAAGACTAAGGAGTACATCGTCCGGACCCCTTAGTCCAGCGAAATCGGATTCTGGTATTGTCGAAATGAGCCGTAAGATGTTTTAATACCACTGCTACCTTGTTGGATGATCATCAAGACAAGAGGCCAGACTTAATCGTCCTGCAACTCTTGGTCTTGATTGTAGCGGATTGAAAGGCTCAACCATCCAGCTCAGCTATCTCTTCAGATGGTCAGTTTTCCTCGTGAGATGCACTGTTGCAGGAGTGCCTGGATCGGGCCTGATGAGCCGTTAATGTTGAAGCAGAGGCGCAATATTCCGACAGCACTGCTGGCGGGAGCTTAGTGCCGTTCAGACTCGGGATGTAGAAAATAGTGACTGTTTCCAGCCGTTGATCTTGGACCTAACTAGTGAGACGATTTCACAGAATAACTATATCAACGGAAGGTCATCCTAGAACAGTGCTGGGATCAGGTTGGGTTATTCCTATCACTCCCTGAACCATACTCCATGTCATCATCGAGACTTGATGATACGATTTGGGTGGACGTCAGTCCTGCTGGTAAGATTACGAGCTTATGTGCCTAAGTACATGCTGAATCTGTTGCAGCGACTTGCTCTCCATACTTCTCAATCAAAATACACCATGAACGGGCCTGCGTTACTAAGCAGGTAAAAGACGTTGAACTACACCTACTGTAATGTTGAATAAACAGCGCAATATACGAGGCAATACCATAACCCAGGGCAACAAGCATCATAGCCCAGAGTGCAGTCGCTCGACGCTGTGGGCATGGTCTCGAAGCAGCTTCAGTCGATGGCTCTTCCCATTTTCCCGGAGCTGTCCTCGTCATGAGAGGCAGTATCGACTATCGACGACCTTATGAGCCGATCAAAGTGTATGTGTTTCCTGCCAAATGTCCGTTATCGCCTTCCAATTCGTAGAGTAGAGCATCACTGTAGCAAGTGTGCTGGCCGTAGCCCTTTCCTAGTGGCCATGATCCCAAGTAATAAAAGAGCGTCGTAGAGCCCCTGTTGTTTTCCTGTTGTCAAAAATCTTAGCTTTTTTTTTTTTTTTTCTGATATACAAGAACAAAAAAAAATGTGAGTACATACGTTGAGCTGGCCCCAATATTGACCTTTTGATTGGATGAATGCATGTCTAACATTGTATAGGCCACGTCTCAAGCCTGAGGAACTTGCTCCTGCGGCTTCGGCCGCCCCCCCTCCTCCTCCTACCCCTCCTCCTCCTCCCACTCCTCCTCCTCCTCCCACTCCTCCTAGTCCTCCTCCTCCTGCTGCTGCTGCTGCGCCGCCTGCGCCTGCACCTGCACCTGCACCTGCGCCCGCTGCTCCAGCCCCCGCCCCCGCTTCCAGGAGTCAGTATACTGATTCAACCTTCATGAGAAGCATCTAGTGGCAATGCTAATATAGATATAGAGCGGCGAAGATGTGGGGAATGTGGAAATTTCCACAAAGGGGGTTGCTGGCCCCTTTGTGACGCCTGCGGGCGTCGCCACTTAGGCGACTGCCCCCCGCCCCGGCCTGCCAGCCGCCAGCCAGCCGCGGCCCCCCAAGCTCCTCCCGCCCCGCCCCCCTCTACCTCCTCAGCGGGCGCCGTCCTCCCGCCCGCCAACCTGCCCACCAAACCGCCCACCAAGAAGCGCCGCGGTCGGGGCAAGAAGACCAAGAAGGGCAAGGGGGAGGGCCGGGAGGCCGAAAAGAACTGAGCCTATATCCAATTAACATTGTATGTACTATTCATGTATATAATTAAATTCATCAATTACATCAGTGATTCGAGCATTCCTTTCATTGTAGTCCACTGTTGGATACAATAGCGTACGTAGTTCTTGTTCTCAACGTATGGGTTGTCATCGAAAAGTGACTTCGATACTCACGACGGTTAATAGGCTGGTTCTGTATCAAATATGGAAAGGAAGGTGAATGTGAACCATGGCATTGTTTCAGAATGTACGGTGCATATTTGGCCTTGTGCGGTGGACATCGTTACCCCCGACTCAAATCTCGTTCTCAAGCGTGTCTCTCTGGTGGTTGGCAGAAGACGGAAGAAAGGCCGAACGGGATTGCTCCGTTACTCGTCCATAATGATTCTGTGGGTCAAGTGTGATTGTGATAGAATTGTGCTGCCAGATCTCCGACTAAAGGTACCTTAGTGACGCGGCCTTAGGTAACTTTACTTTCTAGTTGCTGGTATTTCTTGTTGGCCACGATGTTCACCCAGGAATTCGAGTACAGTTGGTTGTCAAAGCGCAGGAATCGAATGATCGAATGATCCATGCATTAGCTGGTTGCAGCCCTCGAATATTCTAAAGTAAACCATACATTATCCCGGTCATCTTTTCCCTCCCTCGATGCGAAAGTCTGGAGACATGGCAAATGGCAGACGTCATGACGAGAAGATTGAACTCGAATCAGATCACGCTTGCTTTCCCAACACAAAACGCCATGCAATAGCATTCAAGAAACAAAGATCGTCCGGGAGAAAAAATAAAATAAAATAAAAGCAAAAAGTAAAGCATCGCACAAATGTTTACCAGGCACAGTGGCCACCGTCGATGCGCAGATCACTTCCTGTCATGAAACTGCTGGCGTCACTCAAGAGAAAGACTGCGGCACCCCGATATTCGTTGGGGTTAGACAGACGGCCCAGCATGTTGTGCTTGGGCCATTCGTCTCGGCGCTCCGGGAACTGAATAAACAAATCCTCGACCATTTTCGTGACAATGTAGCCCGGGGAGATAGTGTTGACGCGAATGCCATATTGACCCCACTCCATGGCCAGATTGCGACCGAGCTGGATGACAGCGGCCTTGCTGGCATTGTACGCGGGACAAATGAGACCCTAGTCAAGTTAGCATTGTTTTGGCGCAGTTGAGAACAGGAGAGGCCATGCAATGGATTTTTGACGGCCAAGTGTGACATAAGTCAGAAGCGGGGAAGGGAAGAAATCCGGGGATCCCCGTTTCCCACTCTGGAAAGGAACTGATGGGAACGTACCCGATTCGCGACAGTACCACTCATGCTCGCAATTAGTGCAATGCTACCACCATTACCAAAGCGAATCATCTGCTTGGCCACTGCCTGGGCAGTCATGAACACACCCGTCACGTTGACCTCAAACATGGTGTTCGCGTCCTTGGCCGTGTACTCGAGGGCCGGGGTTTCCTGTTGGATTCCTGCTGCGGCGATCAGGCCGTCCATCCGGCCCTCGACATTGGCGATTTGCTCAACGGCGCTGGTCAACAGTTCCGTGTCGCGCACATCAATGCGACGGTAGTGCAACTCTGTGCCCAGTTCGTCCTTGGCTCGCTTCTGAATCTCGAAGAACTCGGAGGACTACCACCATCCAGCAAGGTTAGACAAGATGCGCCACGAACAAGGTTGTAGAACCAAGGTTACTCACTGGCTCCTCCAGACGATCCAATCCGTACACTTTGGCGCCGGCCTCCAAGAGTGCTTCGGCCTGGGTTAAACCAAGACCACGAGCAGCACCAGAGACAAGGACGACCTTGCCAGCCAGACTGAATTCTGGCATTCTACCCTTGGAGCCCAGAGAGACGTCTGCCTGTTTGGTGGCAGGAACGACAGGAGTATCGGCAGTGATGGAGACAGACATTATGATTAGAGTAGATGTGTAGTCGAGCGGTAATCGAAGTGCGAGAAAATTGAGTCGTAATGTAGTCGTTCGATTGACTTGATTACTGCACAGAGAAAGGAGAATAGACGCTGGATAGAATACAATCGAAGCCAGGTTGATCTAACGAGCAGCCATCCAGCCCCTTAAATATTTCACGATCGTGAACCTACGGATGAACGAATCCAGAAAAAGGTGGGTAGCACTACGACTCTAGAAGCCTACGCTCAAGCCAAAGAGCTCATGTGAGCAATTGAAATTTGGATAGTGGCCAAAAGAGGCAAGCATGATGGCTACTTGGAGAGAATGTCAACAAGAAAGTCAGCGAGGGAGTCTGGTTGAATTAACTATGGATTCGGTCCAGACCTGGCGGGGGGGCAATAATGCAATTATGCGCGGGATAGAGGAGCCGTTGCTTCTCCGCCAATTGGTCATCCGCTTGATGTCCGTGGCACGAACTACGGAGTTACATATTAGGTTATTATTGTAGGCAAATGTAGGTTTTATTTTAATCTGACAGGTTGATAACGTCCTGTACAGCCATGGTACGCATGCTTGGGTGTGTTTTGAATCTTCCTGTGCGACAGCTCTCTACAGGTTATTACAAGTTTACAACTGTCTTTTGAGGGGGCGTACGGAGGAGGAGGAATTGAGAACCCAAACAGAATAATCCAAGCAAAGCCAAAGTGACGATAAAGTCATGATGGAGCGATGATACAATACTCAACCTCCCAAACCTGACAACCTGGCTTCGCTTTTATAGGCTAAATGACCACAACAGAGTGACTGGAAGACCCTTGGCCGTGGCACCATTTGAAGACTCGGATTGCCTAATTTAGCAATCCGGGCGGTAGACAACCCAACGGATCCAGATGACTTAAGATACCGGGGAAGAACCGCCATGTTTTCTAAGAATATTTGGGTCGAGAACGCTGGGGATGGGACAGCTTTTGCGATCCGGGTCACGGGGCCATGGACTGGGCAGTTCTGGAAAGGAGAATCAATGCGGCAAAAGTTTCTAGGGAGAGACTGCACTGGGTCAGATGATGGTCGCGCGTCTTGGGCGATCGACTCTAGGATGGTTATTAGCGATTCGGTGATTCAGTGTAATAGTACTCTAAGCAGAGACTAGAATGCAGGAGAAGAGAGCGTGATCATGTTCCGAGAGTGATGGACAGGTGGCAGGAGATGATTTCTGTTGCACGGATTCGTGGACCTCCTATACCGTGGGTTCATTATTGGTCAATTCTTTGTTGTTTATCTACCATGACTTCGAATTTATCCTAGGATGATGTATTTCATCTACTCTTCTACCTAATTCACTTTTCAATCATCGATTTCAAGGCGATTATTGTTCTGTGAGTCTATCCAAATTCCAAGTCGGCATTACTGTTCAGAACTATATACGTTTAGCTTACCTGTTTCAAGAGCATATTTCTATCTCAAGTTACGCCGTCCAAAATCATTACTACACACTCAGGTCTACAGCATGAAACATCTACCAAAATCATCCCAATTCCTGACAGTAGCAATGCAGAACACAATCCTGAAGGCGCCCTTGTGACCTTCGAGAGTCTTAGTCATGTCTCGTTCTGGGGAAAACCGAAATCGATAAGGTATTGTGGAGAAGTGGGTATCCATTTGGGCTGCTTACCCTTTTAGGTTTCCCGGGAGGCGTCCCTCGGGTCAAACATAGACATAGTACAGAAAACCTAAGGTATACAACTGGCGGCTCTAGGTCTTCGTTCCGTCTCTCTCACAAGCTCTTCTCCATTCGAGGGAGGAAAGTTCATTTTAATTAAGAATAGACTGTGATCAGGGAGGACTTTGCATAAGCCTAAGCCCGATAAACTAATTCCATTCCCCCACACGCGGTATACACTGTAGTATAAAGTGAAAAGCATAAAATTAAGGATAAATAAGCATTGATTCCAGACAGCCACTCATCGCTTTCCTTGTGTTGTGCCGACCACCTAGACTCGGGTATCCGTAGAAGCACCTGGCTGCTCATGCCTTCAGGTTATGTTTTGCCAATCCCTGATCGAATGGGCATACTGAAGTTTGAAGTCGGTCTGCCGTACGATACCTTGACTGGTGAAGAAGCCAAATCAAAGAAGTCAGACATTTCCCTATCATATTGGCTGTAAACTGAGTGATACATAGATACAACTAAAATTTAGCATAATTGAACTGTAGATTCAGCAGTAAATTTCGCAATAAGTTGAAAAAGCCAGACTCGGGACACATTTCGGAAATATCAGAGAACAATGCAAGTGCAGTTCTAAGGATAGATTCGAAGGTAGAAATGATGATGTACGAGAACTCCCCTTCGTGAGATTGAATGATAAATGCCGATGTACGGAGTAGATCGTTTTTAGACAATACACTTCAATGTTAGACAGATGTAGCTGCTGATTAGGCACGAGATTCAAGGATTAAAAGACCACCTATTGGATTTGATGGCAATCGCAATGATATAGAGACAAGTTCAGGATGATAGAGTTGAGTACAAGAGTCAATGTAGATATGATGCTAGTTTCAATAAACAATGCGAAGATGACTAACGATAAGTTCTCAAGTCCGAGGATAGAACGAACAATATGTTGCTGGCAGGTTGCAGACAGATGTAATAATAGCAGACCAGAGCGAGACTATTATAGATGCCAGTAAATTTGCCTGTGTATTCGAGGACAGCTCCTACAATAGATACAGTGTTCAAATTGGAATGTAGGTGCCATGTCCAGATTAGACGGCATATTCAAGGACAAAATCGATTGTTAATAAATGGATTGATAGAATGTCACTTGTTTTCCAATAGATTGGGGATATACTGCATAGAACGTAGGTTGAGTCCTCCACAAAAGGACAAAATCGAATGTCAGCAAGGTACCTGGTAGGTAGGTTCGGGATAATATAAAAGAGACGACAGACGGGAATGTCCACCTGGAGTCTAATGATAGTTGTGGGAGTGGATGCCTTTCTCATTAGGTACCTTACCAGAGGCAGTGGTCATCCTACTGTCCAAGCATATCCTCTTTTTGATGGTAACGAGGAAACATACTAGGAAACTCT